TTCCATATATAAAAGTATATAAAATTATGTTGATTTATTATTTATTTAATATTGCTTTTGTCTTATAAAAATCGAAGCCAAATTGACTAAGATTCTGAAAAAAATATTTATTTATTATTTTATATATTTTATATTATTTCTCTGATAACCTTAAGATATAGTGACCCAAACAGTTCTGTTCCGATATATGCTTATACTACATGTAATACATAGAAGACTATTTGCCAAGTTTTATTAAGAGAGCACTTATACAGAGTAAGTAGTTTTCCTAGAAACTTAAGGACAGACGGATATAACATACATAGCTAGATCAACTTGTCTGTTGATGCTGAGCAAAAATAACTTTATAGGACCGCATTTGTCTCATTCACTGCGTTGCAAACATAACTAAAATAATAATAATTTTTGCAAGGGCTTATTTTATTTATTCTTTGAGTTAACGTAGAGTACCAGCAACTGAAATATTTATTTGTAAATTCCAAAGGCTAATAAACTGCTATTCTTCTAGACAATTTGTAAAAATCTAAGTAATTAATATTCAAGCTAAGTGTATTGGTGTATATAATATATTAAAATGTATACTATACATAAAATAACATGGGAAAATCTATATAATAAATATAAATATAATATAAATATAATAATAAAAACAACTTTTCTAGAACCTACAAAGATTTTTCTATAATAAAAAAATTTTAAATTAAATTAAAATCAAAGTCCAAGCTTTTTAATATTTAAAGATTCTGTTTCTTTTATAGTTTTAGAAAGAACCTGTTAACGGAAATAGATAAAATGGTCATTATTAAGCTTCTTCTCTTTAAAGATACATATATATCCACGATCTTTGTAATTATTAGGGTATCCTAACTTCTCCAACTCGTTTCTCCTCCTACTTCATTTCTTTGGGCGGAGTGTTGTGGGGTTGCTTGTTGTGTGACTGGCAGTTAGTGTTGATTATCTAAGTATGCTGTTGACGCGTGACAAAATGCTTTTTTTTTACCTTATTTATTATTTTTTCATTTTTTTTTATTCTTCTGCTGCTTATCTGTATCTTGGCTGTGTGTATCTGCATCTTGATATCGATTCGCTGAGCGTTACACCAACACGTCTTAGTTGATGATGATGATGATGGGCCGGTGAGCGGCGTTTAACATATTGCGCAATTTGCTGATCGCCTCCCCCCCCTTCAGCTGCCACGCGAGTCTTGCTGATAAGCTTCTAACATAGTATTTTTAAACAATTTACGTAAGCGAGACGCCGCTTCTGCTGTGTTGTTTGAAAGTAAGAGTAAGAGTTCTCATTAATTAAACAGAGGCGAGCGGCCACAACAACAACTTTGTTTGCATTCGCAGCAAAATTTGCATTGAAAGCGCAAGTGTAAATAAAAAGTGCAATCGCATGCAACGACGCTGACGCCGACGCGACGCTGACAGCGACGCCGAAGTCGAAGCCGAAGCCGGCACCTCTGCTGGCGTCAACGAAAACGAAATTGAATGAACAAAAAAATTCTTAAATTGCTTGGCTTTTAGTTATTTTTTTTTTACGTTGGCGCCGGCGCTGGCAACGTTGCGTTCTACATTTTTTAATATTTTTTTGTTTGTTTTGTTTAACTTCCCTGAGTTATTAAAGAAAGAAAAAATTAAGCTAAAGTGACACAATTAAATGGGAGGCAGTCGCTCTTAAGAGATTTTATATATATTTTTTCAAAATGATTTATTGCATTCTGGGTTTGTATTTTATTTTGTCACTGCTAAAAAAACAGTTGGGAGATAATCTTTAAAATAAATTAGCTTGCTATAATATAAATAAATTTGTGTAGGGTTTGTTATTATTTTTATTTTTTATTAACAGTAGGTAAAACATTATTGCTCAAGTTAATTAATACTTAAGCTTATTCATGACGTAAACGGAGAATATTGACGTAGGTCAGTAATATGAATACTAATGACAGACATTAGCTTTGCCAGTAGACCTTTACCTTTACCTGTATTCTAAAAAGCTCTTTCTAAAATAATTTGATACATTTATAATGTTCTTAGTAATAATTCAAAATATTATTACAAATAAAAAATTGAACTTACTTTGGAAGTCCATGTTTATTTATGCAAGCAATTGAATAACAGGATTGAATTGAAAATCGATTATAACTAAGCTTAAAATAATCGAAATTTATCAATATTTTATATGTTAATTTTTCCCACAAATCAAGCTTAAGAATATTATAAGTAAGCCAAATAATCATTCATTCAGGAAGCTCTTATATTATATTTTTATTATGTTAAATAATCTGCATAATGATAAATTCATAAATAAATAAAATAATAAAAATAAATAATAAATAAAAATTAAAATTTTAGCAGATATTTTTTATACAATTTTGAAATATTTTGTAAATATATACTGAATATATATTTATAGGGTTGGAAATGAATCACCTTAACAGCGTTACAATCTTCTAGGTATATTATTTAACTTTAATCAAAGCTGAGCCCTGTATCTTTGTCATATTTTATTTATATCTTCTCTATGAATCATAGTTTTTACTATATTGTATAATGAGTGACAATTTAAGTAGATAACTTTTGGGTTTTGGGTCTTTGGTTATTTTCGACATACAAATTTATTGCCTCTGTAAAATTTACTCATAAATTATTTTCTTATCAAAGAAACCATAGGAAATCTATAAATTCCAAGCAATATAAAATAAATAAATCAAACTATATTTGTATTTAAAGGGAAATCAAATAAATTGTTATATATTTAAATACAATTAAATTTGTTATACTATTCTTTATACATGAAATCACGTGTTTTGCGAATACAAATTCGTATTTAAAATGCACAACTCAATTTGGCTTGCGAAATATCTGATATATACGGAATATTTATACCGAATAATTCAGATCTATATGCATATAATTTTACTACCAAATCAAAATCAAAGAAAAAAGAGAAAAAGAAAAGCAAAAGAACCATTTACAAAAAAGATAGATAGAAGAGGAATGCGAAAAGATTTGCTCGAATGAAAATGAAAGTTTACTTTTGTTGTAGCTTTTTCCTCAATTCTTTTTTTCAAACAAAAGGCTGGGAGAGTGAGAGAGTGAGAGGGGGAGGATCGCCAATAAAAAACGCTTACGACAGCGGCCCCCCACACGCACACACGCTGTAATTGTTATTATTGCTATAAGCACAAACATACATATACACACTATAACCGATCTAATCTCTCTCGCACGCGCGCCCCCACTCTCCCTCTCTCTCTTTCACTCCGCCGTTGGGTGCCTCTTTCTCACGGTCAGCATTCGTTTGCGAAAAAGTTCTTTGACGCTTTGTTTATTTATTTTGTTAAGCGCTAAGCGTCGCCGGCAAAAGCTTAAAGCTCCGGTGTTTCTCTCTCTCTCTCTCTCTATCTATGATTCTTTACAGGGTATTTTATGAAAATTGTGGGTATTATGATTTTGTGGTTAATTGGATAATTACTTAAAATTTTAGTAATCAAATATTTATTAGACTTTGTGCTTACTTTTTCATAGGGTATTTACATATTTATTGATAAAGTAGATCATTTATATAACTGTTAGTTTGTTTATTGAGTTTTTGTATATTTTGGACTTTGCCTGTATGATTTGTCGTATAATTTTGGGTTAAAATAGGTACAAATATATAATTATTTATAATATATACGATATTGATTGACTTTTGATAAAATTTTTGAAATTTTACTCCAGGCTACAGTTATTATTAAAATTGTAAGATAATTTTACTCATTGTAAATTGAAAATAATATGTTTGTTAAGTACTGGCTCTCTCTTACAAAACAGGAAAAATGCACTAAATATTTATTAAATATAGAAGAATTTGAATATTTTAAACAAGATTTATATATATTTCTTATTATTCAATTAAAAAAAAACAAAACTTTCGAATTGAAAAATACTTCAATACAACTAAAAACAAGTGTTGATGATGTAAAACATCTTAATAATTAAATTAAAATGGCCATTTTATAAGATCATTTACCGGGTGCTTAATAGTCGTGGTACATCTAATACTAATAATCCATTTCAATTTAATTGAATACAAAGGCATTGCAAAAAAAAAAGAAAAGCAAAAGTGCTTCTTATCAACTTCCACCGCCGCACTCATCCCGCTTATAGAACTTTGACCAAAGGCCGTTAAGATTAGGCTGGATTCCAGGCAATTGTAATAAAGAAATATCAACATCAATTCTATTCTTAAAACGACACACTGTAAGTGGGTTTGAGGGCTCCATAAATCGTGGCATAGATAAGCCCCGGAATACCATACATTATGCTCCCTTCTTTTTCTGGCCGACAACTTGCAATTTGCATGGATTGCTCGTCTATTTGGCCGAGTAATTAACAGTTAGCCAGCAGCCAAAACATGGCGGCAACAAATGGCAATTAACACTCCACATACACAACCCACATGCTGCACTAATACAGTTGAAACAGTGGTGTTTTTGGCCACAAAAGCAACAACTACACACACACATGGTGTGCGCTTTTGTTATCGCCAAACGGAAATGCAATAAATAATTAAGAACAGCCTCGGGGCGCTCAGCTTCGGCAATTGTAATGAGCAATTGTGTTCAATGACAAATTATCATTGGTATTTCTTGTACAAACGGTTTACACACGCCCACAACTGTGGTGAGCCGCCGGCGATAACGATAACGATAACGGTTCCGACTGAAAATCGAATTGCTTCCGCTTCCGTTTCCGGAAGCATTCGAAAAATGGAAGTAACTAAATTTAGATACTTTGGCTGCGGTTTTATTATCTGAGTAAACTAGAAGAAGCAATAAGTCTCCTTTAAATGAAATAACTATTTAGCAAGCTTCTCCTATGACTTTCTATTAACAGAATTTTTCTTCGATTACTATGCACATTAATGAAGTCTTTGAAAATATTAAACACTTTTTATTTTGACTACCAAGTATTACCTCATATACTAATGAATTTTATCCTAATTTACAGGTACAACACTGACCAAGGAGCGATGGACCAGCAATTCTGCTTGCGCTGGAACAATCATCCCACAAATCTGACCGGCGTCCTTACCTCCCTGCTCCAGCGGGAGGCGCTCTGCGATGTCACGCTCGCCTGCGAGGGCGAGACAGTCAAGGTGCGTACAGATTGCTAAATATATTTATACATTTATAAACAGTCACTAAGTTAATATACTGCTTGCAGGCTCACCAAACCATACTGTCAGCCTGCAGTCCGTATTTCGAGACGATTTTCCTACAAACCAGCATCCACATCCCATCATCTACTTGAAAGATGTCAGATACTCAGAGATGCGTTCTCTGCTCGACTTCATGTACAAGGGCGAGGTCAACGTGGGTCAGAGTTCGCTGCCCATGTTCCTCAAGACGGCCGAGAGTCTGCAGGTGTGTGTTTGTTAATAAACATGATATGGAAAGGATATACATAACCGGAAGTGCTAATGAAATCACTTAAAAAGGCCCTAAAAATTATGCTACACAATTTTAACACCATAAAAATCAAGTTTACAATGAATTTGTTGCCTCAGAATATACCTTTGCATACCTTTTTAAAGCATCCTAGAATATGTGCTAGATAACAGCGCTTAAATAAAGCAGAGATTGCACTTTCAGTCTTCAAATTATATGATTATTGTTATAATTAACATCCCATTTCTCTTCCTTAATCTCTTCAGGTGCGTGGCCTCACAGATAACAACAATCTGAACTATCGTTCCGACTGCGACAAGCTGCGCGACTCGGCGGCCAGCTCGCCCACCGGCCGCGGTCCGAGCAATTACAGCGCCGGCCTTGGCGGCGGCGGCGGCAGCGGTGTTGGTGGTGGCGGAAGCGGCAGTGTGGCCGATGCGATGCGCGAATCCCGCGACTCCCTGCGCTCCCGCTGCGAACGGGATCTGCGCGACGAGCTGACGCAGCGCAGCAGCAGCAGTTTGAGCGAACGCAGCTCAGCGGCAGCAGCGGCCGCGGCGGCAGCAGCTGCTGCGGTGGCAGCTGCCGGCGGCAATGCCATGAATGCAGCGGCCGTGGCCCTTGGCCTGGCCACGCCCACCGGCGGCGAACGATCTCCGAGCGTTGGCAGTGCCAGTGCCAGTGCTGCGGCAGCGGCAGCAGCGGTTGCAGCGGCTGTTGCAGCCGCTGCCAATCGAAGTGCCAGCGCCGACGCGTGCAGCGATCGCGGCAGCGAGCGTGGAACTCTTGATCGTTCCGATAGTCGCGATGATTTGTTGCAATTGGATTATAGCAACAAGGATAATAATAATAGTAACAGCAGTAGTACTGGCAACAATAGTAGCAACAACAACAACAATAACAACAACAACAATAATAACAACAACAATAACAACAGCAGCAACAACAACAACAGCAATCGAGAGCGAAATAACAGCAGAGAGCGAGAAAGGGAGCGAGAGCGGGAGCGGGAGCGTGAAAGGGATCGGGACAGGGAGAGGGAGATGTCCACCACGCCCGTGGAGCAGCTGAGTAGTAGTAAGCGCAGACGTAAGAACTCATCATCCAACTGTGATAACTCGCTGTCCTCGAGCCACCAGGACAGGCATTACCCGCAGGACTCTCAGGTGAGCAAAGCATTTCTTTTCTGCATAAGTTTCTGAAAATTAATATATTAAATATTAATTACTAAATAAATAAAGTTAAATAAATAATTCAATAATTTAATATTTAAGCTCCTACTAAAAATAATATACTTGCTTAAAAGTGTATTATAATTATTACGTATACGTAATATTTTAGAATAGTATATAACGTATACGCAGTGTTGTGCATGCAATATCTTGTTCATATACTTTTTTGTAATATATTCAATTTAATTTTTTCTTTAAAGTAAAAGTAAAGTATACAATGCTTTTAATAATTATATATGATTTTTGTATATTTATATATTTTTCCCTTAATTTTACAAAATTTGCTTGGAAATATATAGTTCAAAAAGATATTTTAAATGTAAACAAAAAATTGATCAATTTATTTTAAACTCTTAATCAAATTATATGTATTTCAAAAAACATCTTTATTTTTAATACGTATACGCAATAGTCCGAAAATTACGTATACGCAGTGTTGAGCTTGAAATATCTTTTAAATATAACCTTTTTTTATATTTTCAAGTATACTTATGTTTACAAATGGGAATAGTAAGAAACATCTTTTAATAATATTATATATCTTATTTATATTGTCAGCATTTTACAATATAAGTCTGGAATTACATAATTTTAAAAATATTTTTAATGTAATCAAAAAAGGCAATTAAATTGATCAATTCATAGTTTAACTTTTACTCAAAATTATATATATTTCAAAGAAATTCGTTATTATAAATACGTGTACGTAATATTCTTAGTCCGACAAATTACGTATACGCAGTGTTGATCCTGAAATTACTTTTGAAATTTTTGTTACATATTTTTAACAAGAAGAGAAAAAATATGCAATGTTTTACTATAATTTTCTGTATATTAAATATATTTCCTAGATTTTATACCCTTGCAGGGTATTATAATTTCAGTCAGAAGTTTGCAACGCAGTGAAGGAGGCACCTCCGACTATATAAAGTATATATATTCTTGATCAGGATCAACAGCCGAGTCGATCTAGCCATGTCTGTCTGTCCGTCTGTCCGTTTCTACGCAAACTAGTCTCTCAGTTTTGAAGCTATCTGATTGAAACTTTGTAGTTAGCCTTCTATATACTCTTACTCGTATATATGTCGGATCGGACGACTATATCATATAGCTGCCATAGGAATGATCGGAAAATTTTTACAAAAAATTTTTTAACTTTTTCAGTTTTCAATAGAATTGGATTAAATTTGAGTTATTGCCATTTTACTATATTTTTCAATTTGTACAAAATTTATGAAAATCGGACTACTATATCATATAGCTCCCATAGGAACGATCGAGAAATTAATACAATTAAATTTATAACTTTTTTAGTTTTCAGCTGATTTTCATCAAATTTGAGGTATAGCCATTTTATATAAATTTTAAATTTTGTGGTAAATTTCATGAAAATCGGACGACTATATCATATAGGTGCCATACAAACGATCGTTTGATGTAGAGGAAAAATGAAAATCTGTGAATGTAAAACTGCAAATATAATATGTATAGGTGAATGAAATGAAAGCAGGTATTACTTCATTGTTTTTTAACACAAATATACATATATAATTTATATTGTATGTATCCTATTCATAGAAGTTCTATCTGCAAGGGTATATAAACTTCGGCGTGCCGAAGTTAGCTTCCTTTCTTGTTAACTATATATTTGGAAGTATATAATGCCCCAAATTTATATATATATTTTTTTTAAATATAAACAAAATAATTTCAATTTACATGTGGATTTATAATTAAACGCTTACACAAAATCATATTTATTAAAAGAAATTCTTTATTATTGCGTATACGTAATATTCATGGTTTGAAGAAATTACGTATACGCAGTGTTGAACTCGAAATATATTTTTAAATATTTAAAAATTACTGTCAAATAAAAGTATGCAATTTTATTATATAAATAATTTAATATAGTAAAATACAATAATTCTAAATATATATTCTCATTTTCCAATATTTAAAGTTAATTATATATGTAAATTTGTAAGTGCTTTAAATGACTAAAATGAAATCCCTACTTTAATATGTAATTCTTGTTTACAACAAAATGATCCTCATTATACGGAATCAAATTCAATTACCTAGAATCTCCCCGGCCTATTATACATTTTATATATTATTAAACAAAAAGTGAACTCACAAAGGCAGTGCCAGTTTAGGAGTCTCCCAGCTAACCTTCCGTATTTGTTTAATTGTTTTATTGGCCAGTACATTGCCCTGTAATTAAATTGTCGCTTTTTCTGGTTTTTTGTTTCCCACAGACCAAAAACCTAAACCATTTGAATGCTTCTCTGTCAGTCAGTCATTCATGGTGGAATTCCGCATTTGAAATTTAAAGCACATTTTGTTGGTGTTTATATGTATATGTGTACCTTAATTGCCAGACAATTAAATTTAATTAGAAAATATCACACATTCAAACGGGGCGTCAAATGTTTATTATTTAAAACATAATTACAACTCCATATTACTATACTATGAATATGTTATTTATATTTATATACTTTTTAGTAACTTAGTATATTTTTGGCTTAAATCTGATTGTAATTTAGCATTTTGTACTTTTTTGGAAACTATAAAACAATGATGTGTTTTGTATGCTTTTACATCGTAACATTTTAATTAACTTTGCGGTTGCATGGTTTACTGTACTTTTTTAATTGACATGTAATATTGTAATCATTGTCCTGAAATTGAATTATTACCTTACAATGTGTAGTAAAAAAGGCTTAATTTCCGTAAAAGAGTTATTTTTTTTAAATATAAATACAGAAATGTTTGTAATATAACATAGATTTTAGGTGTTGAGATATTGAAGCTTAAATTATACAAAATACAACGTAAATGTAATGTTTTCCGATCATTTTTGAATATTTTGAAAGCTTAATTCTTCACTTTTCTTAGATATTTTGGCCATAATACAAACCCCATCTATAAGTTAACCTTCATGGCCTTATGGCTTATAAGCTTGCCAAACTTTTCGCTTATCGGACGGGCGGGTGGCATGCAAACAAACAAAGAATATCAACATTTGTGTTTTGGCATTTACGATATGGATGAGGAGATGGTCTTGGATGGAGGGCAGGGCAACTGGGCACACGCTCCGCTCGCTCACATGACTCCGGCTATCAGTTGGGCCCGGTGATCTGCGATCAAATAGTGTTGTGCTGGCAGCCTTTTTGGCAGTTATTTCGGGCTCTTATCAGCGAGAGTGAGGTCTTCGTGGGCTAGGCACGTGCCGCTCTCCCTTTCTTTTCGCTCTCTCTGTGGCACGTGCTGATAAAGGCCACCAATTAGAGGCGTCTTTTATGGCCCTTTTAGGGTTATTATAATTGGGCAAAAGATAGAGACAAGTTGTTGCGACAATACCTACATTGCATATATTTTTAGTTACTAGTTTATATAGTTTATTATAGTTATATAGTTTATTTCCAAAATGTCTTCTTTGTTTACATTTTACTCATGCTTTTACCTTAAATTTCAGGCCAACTTCAAGTCGAGTCCCGTGCCCAAGACGGGCGGCAGTACATCAGAATCGGAGGATGCCGGCGGACGCCACGACTCGCCGCTCTCGATGACCACCGGCGGCCACCTGGGCAGCCTCGGCGGTGGCAATGTGGGCGCGGCCAGCGCCTTGAGCGGTCTGAGCCAATCGCTGAGCATCAAGCAGGAGCTGATGGACGCCCAGCAGCAGCAACAGCAGCATCGTGAGCATCATGTGGCCCTGCCGCCCGACTACTTGCCGGTAAGTCAACAAATTGCATTAGATCTCTTCGATAGGTTCCACAGTTTGATTAAGTTTTAATTATGATTTTGATGCCGCATCGTTTGTTTTAGTTTGTTAAGGTTTTTTCTTTTTTTGAAGCGGTTCGATGGTTCCAGCTACTGTACAGAACATTCTTGTAAAGCCTTTTTAGTTTGTTTTGTTTTGTTAAGCCATCATCTCTGTCTCTCTGTAGCTAGCCGCCAATTGCAAAATGCTTGCCACAGAAAGCCCGTGAATTGTAACCAACATAATGCTCAATCTGTTTTTAAAATGTTTTAAGGATAATTCCATAGAAATTCAAGCAAAATGGGAGCAGAACGAAGGATTGGTGAATTGCATTTAATTGAGTTTTCCAAATGATCTCAGCGGAATATATATCGGCCAAAGAAAAGAAAGAAAAAATCTCAACAATGCTGTTTAAAGTTAAAGTAAAAGTAAAAGTAAAGTAAAGCAAATCCTTCCTTCTACTCAGACCCACAAATTTTCTCAATCCGCCGGCGTGTAGGTGAAAAAGTCAGAAGCGTTTTTAGGCAGCACCAAGTCGATGCACCAGATGCTCTTGCACCAGGCCATGGAGGCGCAGCTAAAGAGCCTCCAGTTGCACTATCAAAACGAAAGCCTGGACTCTGCTGTGCAGAGGCTGCTCCAGCAGCAGCAGCAACAGCAACAGCAACATCAACATCATCAGCAGCATTCCCAGCAGGACCAACACCAGCAGTCACCGCATCCTTCGGTGGGCAAATCATCGCTTTCTGCCCTGGGATCCAGCTCCCGGAAGAGCGGTCGCTTTCGGGCCAACTGGCTATACCAATTCGAGTGGCTGCAGTACGATGAGCGGGCCAATACCATGTTCTGCCGCCACTGCCGCAAATGGAGTGGCGAACTGGCCGACATTCGCACCTCCTTTGTCGAGGGCAACTCCAATTTCCGGCTGGAGATCGTCAATCATCACAACAAGTGCAAGTCGCATCGTCTCTGCTACGAACGTGAACTGCAGGACCAGCAGCAACATCAGACCCTAAATCAGACTCCGAGTGGCAGTGGTGGCCCATCCAAACGACGTTCACCCGATGTTATCACCATAAATGTGGGCAAGGAGAGCTCATAGGGGGGGAGAGACAGGTCCTCGGAAGAGGCAACCAACATATACACCGCTCAGGATTAGCCATAGGCATTAGCATAAGACTTTGACAATAACAGAATGTATGACAAATGAATAAAGAATATATATTTAAGAATAAATTTCGAAAATTAAGAACTATGAGCAATATGTAAAGGTGGCTTTATGGCAGCATTTTGTAATTGTAGGGATAATTTTAGATCTATCAGGAATTTGGTTTTGGGTTTCCCAAAGAAATGGAACAGGAGGTTATAGATGGTTGTTTTAGATAATATTGAAATAGTTTCAGTCATACAGGAATAAGGAATACTAGGAATCTCTGTTACATAATCATATTATTACTATAATACTTTTTTAATATAAAAAACTCAGTTTAAGACACTTTACTTAACAATATCTTACCTTAAAGACAACTACTTTAAATTAAAAGATGATAGCAAAGGAACCAAATCTATAGGAAGTCATAAGTTTTAAGCAGGATTATTCGATTGTCTTTTTTATGGTCACGTTAGCCAATTTAAGCCCCTATATAGTACCCAGATTTGTCCTTGACTTACCCCTATATATATTCCTCTCTCGCACTTTCTCCCTTTCTTCTGCTGCACCCAAAAAGAGCGCCGCCTTGAAACTGCACGCGGAGGACATGTCAACGTTGCTATCGCAGCACGCTCTGCAGGCGGCGGATGCACGGGAGGATCACAACGATGTCAAGCAGATGCAGCTGGATCAGACCGATAACATTGACGGTGAGTACTGCTCAGGTGGAGCACTGCCATTTAGCCATTTAGCCATTAGCCACTAGCCACTAGCCACTAGCCATTAGCCATTTAGCCAGAACCGAGCTAGCACCACAACTACAAATACTACAAAAAGAAAAGAAAAAAGTAAAACCACACATAAAGAATCTTCTTCTCTCTGAGCTTTTGAATACCTTAACGCACTCGAAAAAAAACCGAAAGAATATCTTACCCTATATTCTGTCTGTATATTGCGTATGTAATTTGTTATTAGCTTTTGGTTAATCTACAATCTGTTTTTGTTTGTTTAACCAAAACTTTGTTTCCACCACGCGTTCAAAACTATTAGAAACTCAAAGAAATGCGAGAAATAAAACCCCGCCAAAAAAAAGAAAAACAAAATAAGATAATAGAAAAACTGTATAGAAAAAACTGTAGAAAATTCGTAGCTTAATTTCTGTTCATTTTCCTGACCCGCCCCTGCCCTGAACCACCCCGTAATTAAAATCTAACCAAAAAGAGCAAAACTATTCTAATCTAGATGGTTAAGTAGAAGTAAAACCCATTGGAAATAGTCAGAAAATTGATGTATAAATTGGAAATGGTCCTGGATATAATATAAAATAATATAAATAAAGTAATGGAACCTCAAGGACCATCTCCAGGTTATAAATCTATGTCTCTGAATGTTCCTGCATGCATTTATATAAATACTCCTTCACATCCTGAGACAAGTAATACACTTAATTAATTACCTCCCCTATTTCGTATGCTTTTGTAAGTACAGTATTTTAATTTGTCCTATGTATTTATTTAGCTAAAAATATATATATTTCGAATGATAATCCTAAGAGAAATAAGACCCAAAAGTGCTAGCTAGAGCAACAGATCAACAACACCTCTCCTACCGAAAAATTATATATTATATATCTCTGTCTATCTGTCTTTACATGCATATCTTTATTATTTCGTTGTTTGTCGTATATCGTATGGTATTCTATATTGATAAATATATACTATAAATTTAGCTTCTAGGATGATTTCTTCCATTGTTTTTTTTTTTTCTTTGGGCCGAGACTGGATTGTGATTTCGATTGCTTTCCTAGTTTTTGCTGTACGTTTGCATGTTGCATGCTTTTTTTAAGTCCTTTACACATACATAGCCATACATACACACATTTGATACTCACACACTCCCACATAGACACACACACATACGATTATCGTTTATGTATCGATTAATTTTTAATTTTGATATGTATTATTTAAAACTTATCGATTGATATTCATCTACCTCATGCCGCCATATTTTAGTCATAAGTCAGTTTCCAACAAACATATATACCCGGAATAATTCCAATTAGTTTGTAGAACTCAAAATGCCTCCGAATGACATAAAAAAATCCAACAAACAGAAACCAAACAATTTCAGTTACTTAGCTCGATTGGCGTACACATCGGCATTAATTCAAAATACATAACTAAAAATACAAATAATATCAAACAATAAAAACATGTAACAAATTTCAAATTCAATTTATAATTTCACTTAAATATAAACACACACACACACGCGTAGTTATTTCCAAGCGCTTTCCTTTTGGATTTAACCCCATATTTAATCATTCTTTTATTGCCTCCTAAGTACATTTAATTTTCTTCAATTTTTTTTTTTGCCATGCTTCGTTTCAAAACTGTTGAAAAAAATATAAAACAAAAAACAAAAAAATTTAATTCCGAACAAAGAAACAAGAAAACCTAAAATTTTTCCAAATCTCTTTTCGTCTTTAATGTTGCAACTTATTGTCTAAGAAATGGAAACAAAAAACCAAAAAAGCAAGCTTAAAAAAATATGTATGGAAACTTTTCAGTGTGAATACGATAAAAAAAACAAAGCTTCCAAAATCGATGTGTTCTTTTTTTCCGTTATTTCCACACAAACACACTCACACACACAGACACACACACTTTCGCAATACACACAGGTACAGACTGTACTTTTCGTCTTTTTTGGATATTTCTACTAACTAACATTGCTGCATTTATGATTTTGATGTCGAGAAACCGTTGAAACATATTTTGGTCACACTGTTTTTTTGTAACGAGATAACCGTAACTGACTGTCTGTGTTTTTACCAATTGGTTATTGCCAAGCTAACTAAGTGTATTCCAATCTATCTTTCTTTTGCCTACACTCTTTCTATATCTCTCTCTCTCTCTGTCGCTCTCTCTCTATCTCTATCTCTCTCTCTGTTTCTGTACTTAACTGTCAGTGTGTGTGTGTGTGTGTATGCTTGTGAGTGTGTGTTGCACATAACCTCAATTAATGTAAAAAACGAGAGCAGCCTTAAAGAACTGATTTGAAACAAACAAAGGGTAAAGTGAAAAGGAGAGAGACACCAAGCTCGCACATTATTGGCTCCCGATTGCACATAAAAAAGAGTATTTAAAAAAAATCAAACAAAAATCCTTAATTGAAATTAAATCGAAATTGAAATTACCTTACAGCTAAAAAATATAAAAACAATAACCCTTACCCAACGCCCCAAAAAGAAAACCCCTCACCACCACCTTCAAAACCAACAAAATATATGAAAAAGAAAACGAAAAAGAACTGGAATTTGCTAAACTAAAAGATTTAAACAAGTGTACAAAAAAACATTACAAATAAAATTATATTTAAGACAATCTATACAGCCCAAACATCTGTTGCAACATTGAAGTACTAAAACGAAAGTAATCCCACAAAAACAAACCACAAAGAAATGAATATTTTGTACGAAAAAGAATGTATTATAATGAATCGAATCTATATATTATAAGCCCAAAAAAAGAAAACCGAACCAATTGTTGATGCCACAAAATGACACGAAACCGAAGTTGTTGTTTACCATTGATTTTGATTTAATTTTGATTTAGTTCCTCCCAATCCGTTTCACACCGTTCACAACACACTGTTGATTGATTGATTGATTTGCTTTGATGCAAAGTATATTTTATTTAGCTGAATTGTTTTCTTAGAGCTATTAAGTCCCGCCGATCCGAGTCGATGCCGCCTTAGCTTTAAGTCCAGCCTTGGTTTGATTTGTTTTGTTATATCTCCACAGACTCTGCCAGCCGTATGATTAAGACTTCTTTATTTGATTTGAATCCAAGCCCCTTGCCCACGATCGAATTGTAAATTTTATTTCCAGGCTTCTCAAAGAAACCCAGTACCATTATCCATTATCCTTGCCGATCACCAATTGACTTGTGTTTATGCCCTGCGTTTATCTTTCTTATTATCCTTTGATCACAGCAACACTCGCTCCCCAAACACACTGTTTGTTTCGAAAAAATAAATGCAAAATGATATGGCCAAGTCCTCACATTCAAAAGCATTTAAATCCAATATCGTAGCTGAACCATTCGTCTCGCATTTCCCTCCTCAAAGAAACAAACTTAAAACTTGGGGGATGCATAAACTATAAAGATATACCCTGTTTTAGTGTGGGCCAATTCCGTCAGCTTATAAAAGCAAATTTTGAAAAATACAGATAGCAAATATTGAAAGCAATGATAGCATATTGTTAAAACAAATTTAAAAATTAAGATAGCAAATTGGCTACTGGGGTGTTCAAAAAATGATTAGTTTTTTCTAAACCCGAAAAATATGTCGACAGAATGCAATGCAATTTTCAAGATTCCAAACACAGTATAAAATTTTTATTATAGCCTAATTTTTGAAACAAGTAAATGTCAAAGATTGAAAACTTACAAAACAATTAACAAGAAATTGTAATATGCTTCTGGTTTTAAAACGTTAGCTGTTAATGATATTCTTCTTGATTGTTTTTAGTATCAATAAAATTCAAAGAAACAATCTGAACTAATCTAAAATCAATTTTAAGCTTTCCTAGAATAGTACGAAAATTGGAAAATATAAAAGGGAAAACTTTGTTAGGTCTTTTTTTTTTGTAAGTCGATATTGGCCCTCCCTAAGCAGTATATACTCAGGTGTAACAGAGAAATCCCTAGGACTTTTAAACCTTTAAGGTATCTAAAAGTATGCAATAAAATGCTTGAGGTAGAAAAGTGCCATAGCATAGTTTTGGTCACACTTAAAGCCCCTGAGGATTTCTACGAAGCCTGCGATAAATATTTTTATACATATGCGCCATCCAACACATACTTTTTGAATTTATGCCCAAGTTTTCAGTCCTCCTACTTAGTTGAACTTAGTTTCCACCCACACAACTCCACCAATAAAAAAACACGCCCGAAAACCATTGGCTTTAGACCACTGTGCGCATGGAATGCAAGCGAGGCGCGATCGAAACCAATCTCTGTCTCTTTCTGTCTGTCCACCTGTCCACCACCCGTCCATCTGTCCATCCCTGAGATCCCACACCCCACAGTGATGACGCCTAATATGAAACGAAGCAAATGTTTGCAGGTCGCGTCAAGTGTTTTAACAGTGAGGATCGGGAGCGGGAACGGGAGGAGCAGGAACGCGATAAGGAGCTGGAGCACGATGTGCAGGTGCATCACGATCGAGATATGGATGCGGAGGATATGGAGCAGCAGGACCAGGAGGATGTCGATGAGGAGTCGGCGGCAGCAGCGGCAGTCTATCATTCAACGCCGCCGAAATACCGCCGAGCGGTGGTCTATGCCCCACCCCATCCCGACGAGGCGGGTGCCTCCGGATCGGATATTTATGTGGACGGTGGCTATCAATGCGAGTACAAGTGCAAGGAGCTCAATATGCGAGCCATCCGCTGCAGCCGACAGCAGCACCTGATGTCCCACTATCCGCCCCATCATCAGCACCACCGCTCCCTGATGGATTGTCCCGCCGAGGCGGCCTACTCGCCACCGAGTGTGACCGGCAGTCAGGCCTACCTGACCAGCAATGGATCGGTGCAGCAGTTGGATCTGTCCAATTATCACGGACACAGCCATGGCCATCACCATCATCCGTCTACCCTGCCGATACCACCACCACCGCCCAGTCACTCTCAAGGATCGCCTCAACACTATCCCACTGCCTCGGGTTCCGGCGGCTCTGGCTCTGGCGGGATTTCGGGATCAGCATCGCTAACGGGTTCAGCTTCAGGTTCGGCCACATCGGCACCGCCATCGGTGGTTACATCGGCTGTCTCGCCGCAGCCCAGCTCCAGCTCCAGCGGCTCCTCCTCCTCGGCGGCGGCGGCAGTGGCAGCGGCAGCCGCGGCGGCGGCCAATCGGCGGGATCACAACATCGACTACTCCACCCTGTTCGTCCAGCTATCCGGCACTCTGCCCACCCTGTACCGTTGTGTGAGCTGCAACAAGATCGTGTCCAATCGGTGGCACCACGCCAATATCCATCGGCCGCAGAGCCACGAGTGCCCGGTTTGTGGTCAGAAGTTCACCCGCCGGGACAACATGAAGGCCCACTGCAAGATCAAGCATGCGGACATCAAGGATCGGTTCTTCAGCCACTATGTACATATGTGATCACTTCTCTAGGCGTCTGATCGAGTCGAGGCAAGGGCAGATCCAAATCAAATCAAATCAAATGATTGAAGACAGGTTTTCACCACTATTAAGCAACGTATACGTAATTCAATGCAAGCTAGAGTGAGGAGCCAACGTCTTGGCAGTTGGATGTACATCTATATATCTATTTATAATCCTTATATACACACAACACACACGCATACACAACACACACACACAGGCAGACAGACACACCTATGCTAATCGTAGTTGACTTCAAGACTCTGAACTATCTATTATTGTTAAATCGTCGAAACCTCTATAGAGCTGCTTCTTTTGTAGATCACACATAGAGCGAACCAAATGGATAATTATCGATTATCAATTATCGAGATGAGAATCGATAATATCGAGTTAATTTTGCGAATTATAATGAATACCGAGACCAGTACTCAGTGGAGGGAAACTTTGACAAGTATTATATGTAGAATTCCAATCGATTTCCGCGTCAGTTATTATTTTATTTACTTACTTAACATGTGCTGTAGTGAATGTTGACTAATTTTCGTTCGTTCGTGTCATTTTGTGCCATATTAGCTAATCTCTCTTCTAGTCCATAGGCCCTAAGGTCGCTAAAGATAACGAAAGGTTAAATAATTAATGATTAATCTAGGCAAAATCGAGTGAGGCAAGCAAGCTTGATCAACGTGAAGACTTGAACCAAAAAAGGCAATGCAAAATATATCGACTATTTTTGAGAATCTCCATCTCTTTAAGGTCTCTAGTCTTGTCTCAAATATTTTGTCCGCAAAGAAAAATTGAGAAAAATTATATAATTCGGGCAGCGTCCAACTTCAAACCGTTTATGCCGAGCCCCCAGAGAACATCATCGGTAGCTGAGGTTGGACGCTCTCCTGAACTACATGTGAATGTATATCTTTGGCAAAACACCCACCGAAGTTGGTTACAGATAATTTACTTATTCAATTCATTCAATCTACACAATTCAGTGCTTTGCTAAAGATCAAACTTAAATCGGATTTTAACGAGAAACGATGTACTTAAAACCTTAGAAATAGTGAAACCAATCAAGCAAAGAATCCAATTAATTAACACTCAAATACAAATATATACAAGTACACATATGTATGTGAAACGGATAAATCAATCTTTAACATCTTTAACTTTACTTAATAAATCTCTTTCAAATCAAATTCCAGTTCTTTTCATTCAATAAAAAAAAGCAAAAGAAACTTGTTGGTACATTAAACCCTCATCCCTAGGTACTAAAAACCACTAAACACAATTGAATAAAATATACAAAAGAACATAACTCTTACGATTACGAATCAAAAAGAACAAAAGAAAACCAAATCCAAATTTTAATACAAAAATTTAAACATCAAGCGCACTGTCTTAACGGTAAGTTCAAATTTCTAAGATCTATTTAAGCACAAATACCTGCTCCCCCTATAATTTAGACTTACGTTACCTAAGTTAACTCTATATACACATACATATTTATATGATTTACGTCTTATGAACTCTCAAAATCAACAAATTCGAACAAAAATAAATTAAACATAAAGAAAAGAAAAAAAAAACAGGAATTGGCCAAACGATTGAAAATTTGATTTAGTTATTTGAAAACACTTGCCTCTACTCACTCACTCACTCACTCGATATATATCTATCTTGCTCTTTAGCTGTATTTCTCTCTCCCTCTCACACTCAGTCTGTCTCGCTCTCTCTCTGACTATCTCTTTTTTCAAATTACTGTACACACAGTCTGTCTCGCTCAGTTATATTCAGCGAGACCCGAAATTTGTTTTTGTTCTGCCAGGCAGGAGGGGTGTTGAATGAAATGTATTCGATAAACGATAAGCAATAGGTCACGTACGATGTTCGATATACAACGTGCAATATCCGATACTTATCGTTGTTGCTGCGCTACAGTTATTTCGTTAATGGTTTTTAGCAGTCTTCATCCCAGAACTCAGTCATAATTATTTACCTGTTTTGTCTCATTTGTTTCTTAACCTCATCTGCCTTTGATTATTGTTTTTTTTTTTTTTACCCCCTCTCACACTCTCTGTCTCCCTCCAAACTTATGTACATTCACCGAAAAACAATAAACAAAAAAACTCCACCCCTCTCCGCATAAGCAAGCGCAACCCCAGTGAACCCTAGCGCAATAAAACAGTGAAAGAAATTAAACACTAATACGGTTCTTGGGCTCTCTTGACAACAAATTTTTAATAATAAAGAAGCTGAAAAGAAATCGAACTGAATTATTTATAAATATTAGAAAAAAAAATATATAAATCATTATTTTAGTCCGACACGAATCATTGCACATACATACATCAGTATATATAATTTGGTTTGGGTTCCTCAAAGAAAATACAGTTCCGGTCCCCTAATTCTCATCCAATTATTGTAAATAATTTTATTGCGAGTATCTTTTTAAGTGAACCATCAATGAAATTCAGCGGAGACAAATCATTTGATTTAATAATAATAATTTTTACCTCGTAATATATTGTTGTTCCTCCCACCCACCACACCTTCCTATCATCATTAAAGTGCTGTTGTTCTGCATTTCTCGAGCTCTCGAAATAAATTAATAATAATAATAATAACCCCCATGGAAAAAGTAGTAGTTAAAAGGAAAACAAATTATATTCAAAAACTGTATTTATTTACCGTGATTTTTTGGGTGTAACAAAATTTGATTGCGAGCAATTATATATTACACATATATTTAATAATTTAACCCCACAAAATACCCGATAAAACCATGTCTCGGCGATGTGAAAAAAGAGTTTCAGTTTTTAATAATCATTCTTTCCATGGCAAAAGAGATAAAATAAAAACTAAAAAAAGGAAACAGAAATTACGAATATATACTACCACACATACACGCATAAAACACATACACACCAATACACCAACACACCAAAACACACACACCAGCAGACTCTGAAAACCATCTAATTATACAGTTTAAGAATTATTATAAAAATGATTTTTCTGTTTCTGTGAATCACCAACAACAACATTGTTTTTCTCTTCTTTTTTTCTTTGCGCGTTCGAACGAACAAATTAATAAATAAAAACAAAAACGAAAACCGAAAAAAATACTCAAACTGAAACTGAAAACGTAAATAAAAACAATGCTAATAAATATAAACAAATCAATCAATCCAATCGAATAAATTGCATTGACGCAGGCTCAAAGGCCTGGCACATGCGGCTTACGTTCGAGCGCCTCTCCGGCGGCTGCAACCTGCACCGTTGCAAGCTGTGCGGCAAGGTCGTCACCCACATCCGCAACCACTACCACGTCCACTTCCCCGGCCGCTTCGAGTGCCCGCTGTGCCGTGCAACCTACACGCGCAGCGACAACCTGCGCACGCACTGCAAGTTCAAGCATCCCATGTACAATCCGGACACGCGCAAGTTCGACAACCTCATGTCCACGGCAGCGGCGGCGGCAGCATCCACGCCCACGGCCAGCCAGCTGGCGGTGGCCTCCCAGGCAGCCATGGCGGCGGCAGCTGCAGCGGCCTTCAACGCGGCGCAACAGCAGCAGCAGCAGCAACATCAGCAATCGCAGCAGCAGCAGCAGCAACAGCAATCCCAACAACAGCAGCAGCAATCGCAGCAGCAGCAGCTGCAACAGCATGCCCACAGCCTGGCCCAGCAGCACATACTGCATCAGCAACTGCAGCCGCAGCACCATCAGCAGCAGCAGCACAATGCCACGAGCGAATGATATAGCCAGTATCTGGGCTGGAACTATGGAGCCTGGCGCCACGATGACCAGAACCTCAAGCAGCGGAGCAGCAGCAGTCACATCGCAAGGCTCCGCCCTTTAACTATTATGCACGCGACTACTACTACCAGCAATCCCAGCAGCAACAGCAGCAACAGCAGCAGCAACAGCCGTTCATAAGCAACGGCAGCATGCGACCCCAGCGACGGCAACCTGCAACGCAGACGATCATCATCGATGAGAGCGACACGGAGCTGGATGAGGAGCAGCAGATGAGGTTGAACTTCGAGCGGTATATGGAGCAGCTGAAGCAGTTGGCGCCGTATGATCACCAGGAAACTATGTGCAATAGCAACACCAACAACACCAATATAAATAATAATAGCAGCAACAGCAGAAGCGACGCAGAGCCCACAAATGCCAATCAAATGGAAGCTACTACAACTACTACTACTAATAGTAATGATAATGCTAATAATAATAATAACAATAGTTATGCTAACAGTGCTAGGAACTACAGCAAAAGGCAGCAGGAGGAAGAGGAGCAACAGGATAAGCAGCAGGAGCAACAGAGCACATGAGCAACATCCACCATAAATAGAAAAAAAAAAACAGAAAAAGCAAGAGCAACCAATTGATACTCAAAGAAAAAATTAAACATAGATGAGAAACCGTAAAGTAGGCCACTTTTAGGTAACTTTGAGGGTAAGCCAAAAATTTAATTGTCAATTATGTAGGCGAAAAGGTGGACAAGGAGTCGCTACCCGAGGAGAGGAGAATCCAAAATGCTGATCTGTGGAGAAGGAGGAACATCCAACCGCAACCACACATTGTCACATGGTTTCAACCATAAACTATAAAATGGATGTTGCAGTTGCACTTATACATACAGTTTAGTAAGAGAATTTAATCGTAATGAGGATTTAAATTGTACAGAGTCTTGTTCGAGGAACAAAGCAACCAGAAAAAAGGGTTTCCAAGGCAGCTAGCTAGGAGGAAGAGGGTGAGGATAAAGCAAAGGTTTTAATTAGCAGCACTCAAAACAAAAATAAAATATTTACACCAACTAAGCTTAAATTAAAACTAATTGTATTTCAAGAACTACTCACATATGGAATTACAAATTTTACAAAACTCAAATCGTTGGACCTGTCACCTGACATTTGTGCCAAAAATCTCTTGGTGGTAGTGCCACAAATTCCTTGGCTGCACACTCTCTCTCTTTCTATCTCTGCACCTGTTTGTTGTTGCATTTAACACTAGAATGTGCACACCCACCCACACCCATCTGACACACCCACTAACCACCCACCCCGGGGAAACCAACCACTCTGATACTCTAGAAAGGTTAGAAGAAAGTTAGGAGCTAACACCGAACACTGAAGACATTTGAAACGAGAGATTTCTATGCTGCTAAAACACAAACAAAACAAAACACTTTACTGTTTTAAAATAAATGTTTTATTATTATTAATTACGATCTAGTGGATCTATGCGCAATAACCAGAACTGTAAAATATCATAAAAATATTAGCGTAAATGAATTTAATCGATATTTATACACAACTATTCAATGGGATTTTCTACACATATACGAACACATATATGTGGTATCTATAATGTACAAATATCTGTGCGTTTGATCGATGTTAGTTGACCTTGAAGAAGACATGCATTACACGGCAAAACCTAATCTTAGCAAATCAGTTTTAACTCTAAACTCTAAACTAAAATAAACTACGACTAATTCACTGATTACGGATACTAAACTAATGTTAATTTATTTATAACCAAACCGAGAGTGTGTGCGAATGAGTCTCGAACTGAGGTGAGCGATCTGTTCCGATCCGATGTATTATATATAGTTATCGATCGATCAACTGTCCGTGCATGTGGCCGAGTTTGTTATCCAGTCTCTATATATATATAAATATATATGATAATAATAATATTAATTAGTTTCGCAGACTCTTCTTGCGGTGTAAATATGACGATGATTCTCCCTCCCTCATCCGGTTTCTGCTAGTTAGTGTATATTTAAAGTCCGTTTTCTTTGTAATTCGTTGTTGTACATTGATTGCCAAAATCCCAAAAAATAAAAAAACAAAAAATATATATAAACAAAAGTATAAAAAATATACAAAATATTGGTGCGCACACTCAACACACACTCACACAGACACAAGAAGCAACAAACACACAAACACAATTGTCTTATTGCCTAAAGAATTAATGCATAATTCGATTAAAATATATTAAATTTATATAGTTATCTATATATATTAAATACACATACACATATATTCATAATATTTATTTGTTCTACTTCTTAACATGAAATGTTTAGTGATTAAATTTACAATTATTAATAATTATAATGCTACATCAAATACTGCCCCCGACTTAATGTTTGTTTAATGTTTATTTTTAACGCTG